CCAGCCTGCCTGCCACATGCTGGTCCCAAGAGAAACTCTGGGTCCTGCCTTCTAGAAAAGTCTGTTGCTAGCTGAGGCCTCTACACAGGGGAGGTGCTTACTCTCTGCCTCAGGCCAGCACTGTGCATGCTGTGCACAGTGGGGGTGGAGTTCAGTTCAGGAAGGGCCTAGAGTGCTGTGCTGGGGGAGAGGGGGCTCAGAAGGAAAGGGTGCTAAGCACAAGGGTTGCCCAGCAGTACACAGGGCCTTGCCCTAGGCATCCAGAGGCCTGTCTGCCACATGCTCCCCAGAATCACCTCCTGACCTTCCTGCCACCCCACTCCCAGTCCTGTTCAGAGGCTCTTGCCCCGTGGCCAGGCCCATGTGACGCTCAGACTCAGGCACTCTGGGAGCAGAGTCCTCTCTGGCCTCTGCACCACAGGAGGCTGCTGGGGGAGCAGATTGGCGCTACCCACTGCGCTGCCTCAGGGCCTTTGTGATGCTCTTCCTACTACCAGCATGCTCTCCTGCCCCTCCTTGTCTGCTGGCTCTGCTTGAGTTCCAGACAGGTCTCTGGTGGTATCCTCGGAGGGTTATGACACCCATCCCTCCCCCCGTCCCTCTCCTGTCACCATCTCGCACATCATCTGCGCCTTTGTTTTCTTCGAAGGCGCCATCTTCCCTATTGTGGGTGCTTACCATCCTGTGTAACCTAACCCTAACCCTAACACTAGTAGGATGCCCTAGGGAGTCCAACTTCCACTGAGGTGTGCTTAGATCCTGCTCAGCACATAGTAGGGCTTCAAGCAGAATAACACTGCAGGACAAACTGCTTTGAGCCACCTCCCAGGTTCAGAGGAGAACGGGATACCTGGTAGTAGGTGCTCAACAAAATGTCACCTCAGAGAACAGTGATCTTGCTACCATTTTCTTGACTAGCCATTTTCTGATCAAGACAGCTGCAGCCCAGATAGGGTGTGGAACATGAACAGTCACAGAGCAGACTCTGGCAACAGACAGAAAGCCCCTGCCTCCTGGACTGCAACCCCACCCTTCCCCCCGCAGCAGTAGCTCTGGCTCTCCAGGAGTCAGTCGCAAGGTCCTGAAATAGAAGAGGTAAAAGTTACAGCTCTCCTATTCCTCCAGAAAAATTAATTCTGCTGCCAGACATTTGTCCCCAAAGCTCTCGAATCTGGGGATCAAATCATAGCCCTGCCTGCTTCAGCAACGTGCTTCAACGTTTCAAAAGCGGATTCCTGGGTAAAATATTGCCATCCCCGAGGCCCTCGCGCACAAGCAGTGCCCCAAATAATCTCTCCCGACACACTACAAATAGGATACAGCGTTGCCCATCCCAGCTTTAAATGAGAAAGTTAGAAAAACAAAATGCAGAGGTAGAAAGTGGCTCTGATCACAGGAGCTGAGAGTAATTGCCTTCTGGCTGAGAGATGGGGACTGCGTCAAGGGGGGCCAGGTCCCCATTCGGACTTTGAATATTAAGTGAAGTTTTATTTATGGTTCTTTTTGAGGGCTTATGACTCTCAGGCGAGGCAGAACTCATAACAAGCCCTCTTGCACGAAAGTTAGGCTATAAAAAAATAATTAAGGAAAATTTTCCCCGCAGTACAGGCAGTGAGAGGCTGACCAGTCCCTCTGTAAACACAGGGTCTGCCTTCAAGACTAGCAGGTACTGGGGATGGTGGCTCCCCCAGGGAAATGGGCCCTAGGGAGATCATAGCCACCAGCACCCCTGAGCAAGTGGTGGCTTTTTTGGTAGAAGGTGGTGTGTGACTGACAGCTTTCCCCGGGAGCATCTGCATGTTCCCTGGGTGGGGAAAATGAGTTTGGGGTGGGTGAGAGATCAGGGAATTCCAGGGCCCTCAAAGACAAGGTCAGGATCCAGGGAGGCTCTGGGATAGCTTCCTGGGGAACAGATCCGGCTAAAGACAAGAGACTGGCGTATCCTAAATCTTAGAAGAGTTCTGGATTCTGAGAATGTGTCCCCTTCCACCGCCAAAAAAAAAAAAAAAAAAAAAAAAAAAACCTTTCTGAGTATTTATCCAAAAGAACAGAAACCAGACATCCATATGCCAATGTTCATTTCAGCATTATCCACAGTAATCACAAGGCAGAAGCAACATGAATGTCCATCAGTGGATGAACAGATAAACAAGTGTCATTCACATCCAAAAGAATATTCATCTTTAAAAGAAAGGAAATTCCAAAGCATGTTCGAATTTTACTGAATTGTCCTTCCATATAGCATCACTTTTCACCTCTAGCCTATCTTTCCTTTTTGCCCCATCTAATTAGCTGTATTTTAGTAATTGTAACACCAAGCTTTGCTTAGAATTTTCCTCTGGGGACTACCCATCTGTAAAGGAGAATGTATGGGCTACTGGAAACCCCTGAGATGAAAGAGAACTAAGTAGTGGCCTCAAGGAGACCAGCCCAGGAAAGAGAAGACAAAAACAAATGTCTTTAGCCCCAAAAAGGGAAGAAAATGCCTACGAGATGTCTAAGGAGATTATTCTGGAAGACTGTGTTCTCTGGGGATCACAAACTACTTTCTGAAAGAGACCATTGTTGAATGGAACTTTAGAGGACTGGCAGCAATTGGACAAACAGGGAAGTGGGTCTGATGAAGGAGACACAACACTATCAGACCAAAGTGGAAACTAGGGAGATGGTTTAGTGGTTAAAGTGTTTGCCATACAAGCATGAGGACTTAAGTTAGCATCCCCAGAACTCATGTAAAGCCAAGAGCAGTAAGTAGTACACGTCTGTAATCCCAATGCTCCTATGGCAAGATGAGTAGTACAGATGAAGAATCCCTAGAAGCTTATGAGTCAGCTAGCTTGCAACAAAGGGACACGCTTCAAATAAGGTGGAAAGTGAGGACTGACACCCAAGGTTGTCCTCTGACCTTCACATGCGCACCATGACAGGGCATATATCTGCACTCACACACACATCACACACACCATACACAGAGGAAAGAAAGGAGTGGGGAGGGAGTAAAGCAAATCAAGGTAGGTAGAGCCAGGTACAGTAAGACATACCAGCAACCTCAGCACTCAGAAGGGTGAGACAAAAGGATCACTTGAACCAGAGTCAAGACCAGCATAGGTAATGTAGTACTGCCACAGAGGCCCACATGCCACTGTTATTTCTGCCTGTGTCTTTAGTGATCACTGGGTGATGTGGCATGTTTACAAATACTCAGCACCAGTACTAATGGGAAACAGCCTTTGCCATCACTGTCCTTAAGACTGTAAGGTGAAGATATGCTGATGTGGTGGTGAGGAAGGCAGGCGCTGACCTCATCATGGGTGTAGGGGAATTGCCTGAAGATGAGGTGTGACCACAATTATGCAGAATCCGTGGAAGGACAAGATCCTAGGCTGGCTTTAAAAAAATTTTTTTGGTTTTTATTTATTTATTTTTATTTTACGTGTATGAGTGTTTTGCCTGCATGTATGTAAGTATACCCATGCATGCAGCAGAACAACTTCTGCAGGCTGTCCCCCAGCCTCCATACAACATGTATATGGAAGTATGTGTGTGCGTGCACACACAGACAGATAGAAAGATAACAAATAAATAATAAACGTTTTAAAAATAAAAGCCTGAAAAGTTAATTTATAACTTACAACGCCATAACCTAAGCCATGGAATGACAGTTTTTAAATATTGTGAAGTGCCAGGTGTGGTGGCAGACACCCTTAATCTAGCACTCCAGAGGCAGGGACAGGCAGATCTCTGTGAGATCAAGGCCAGCCTGGTCTACATAGTGAGTTTCAGGAGGGGCTACAAGGAAACCCTTGAAAAAAACTGTGAAGAACAGGACGTGGTGGTACTCTCTTGTAATCATAGCTTTAGAGAGGCTGAGGCAGGAAAGTCATGAGTTTAAGGACAAAATGGGCTACATAGAGATCCTATCTCAAAAAATAAAAAAACAAGCAAACAAAAATTATATTTTCTATTTTACCTGAAGAATCTAAGTTATATTAACTGGTTGGTTATCGTTCATCACTACCATTTGAATAAAATCTTTAATGCTGATTTTGAAATTTTGTGAAGAAGTATAAGAAAGAACAACAGGTTTTGTGGTCCCTTATGAGCTTTTCAGCTTGGTAAAGTCACGAATTTAACTTCAAAGGATTGACTGCAGTTGTTCTAGAAATAAGCCAGTCCTTCTGGCTTGCATCATCTTGGTTTCTACAAGGTAGACTGTCATGGAACCAAACTCTAAGTAGGTGAGATTTACTGCAACCTGTGGAGCCTCTACTCCTTCCTGTTACTTTGTGCTAAGGGAATACTTTTTACTGACGTCTTTT